TTTTTATAAAATTAATTTATTTTTTAAAAAATTGAAAGTTTTTATTATTTTTATTATTCTTAAGAATTTATTTCTTTTTATAGTATCTACAGTTTCGTCAAATAATCAAGATTTAATGAAATCTGACAAAAATCAGGATGTAAATAAAAATAGCTACATTCATACAATTAAACATCAGTCGTCTAATCGTAAAATAGATATTCCTCATGTCGGAATGAGCAGTGCGGAACTTCAAGAATCGATACACAAACACTCTGAAGAGTCCAATAGTGCCATGTTGGCATTGACCGTCGGGCTGTGCGTCACGGCCCTGCTGCTTGTGCTCGTGGGATGTCGCATGCGTTCTATTCGCAGACGACTTGCAAGAAGGAAGCGGTCGGCCCTTGTGCACGATGCTGACTATCTAGTCAACGGTATGTATCTGTAGAACAAAAATGTGGTGAAAATTTTACGTGCAGTGCAAACAAATATAATTGAAAAAGCATCTAGTCACAGTTTTATTTTGTTGTTAAAATGTATTACTTGTACTTTACAAAGATATATTGTTGTTATTTTTTATTTGTTAGAAATCATTGAAGCATTTTAATGTTTTTTTATAATTTTTTAAATTTTTATGCAGTGACTACACACAGGAATGTAGGGATATAATTTTTATCTATATCCAATATGTTACAAGAATCAAAATTTCAGAATCTTTTTAGAAATCATTCTCTCATTATCATAAATTCTATGGAAACAGTATTGTTTCATGTTTAGAATATATTCTATTATCTGCCATTATATTTTGTAGTGAAGAATGTTTAATAATATAATTTTCCAGAGTAAGTATAACTTACTATTTTCAAAATAGTTAGGATAGTAAATATAATTATATAATTTTATTTTATTTTCCCAAATTAAAAGTTTAAAAAAAAAAATTACCAGATAGCGTATATGATAAGGATTCTTCCAATACGACAAATGTGGTTAGAATGAGATTTGGATTGGATTTGAACTTAGTTAAAAGATAGTAATTTGTTTTGCAAAGAATTGGCATGCATTGTATAGGTCACCTTCAGTTTAGTATGTCTCGGATAGAACTGAAGATACAGTAGAGATGAGAGAAAGAGATCAAAACACCAATAAAACTACTCAGATTCAAGAAATATATAAATTCTTTAGTTTTATCAATATTGTTTAAAAAAAAATCTATAACAACTTATCCAAACTTTGTAACATTGGATTAAAGAGAGTGGTCATCATGGCCAAGTTCATTCCATAAAGTAATATTCAACATAACCATGCAATAATCAATTTTTCTATAGAATGAAAAATCAATTTTGTAATTCCTGTTTTGAATTTTCATGTGACTAGTTTAAGTTTTAATTTTGCTCATAATCCATATCTGTCCACTATTGTGGGTAGACCCCATTGTAATTTACAAATAGAGCAATCATATAATTTAAAATGCATTGGGTTCTCACAAGAATAATTCAAATATATTGCATATTAGTATTTTGTACATAAAAAGCCAATTCTTTGGTTGTAATATATAGTATTACAATGAAATGAAGTACAGTAAAAGTAATTATGTTTATAATAAAAAAATCAAAAGTATAAAAAATCTTAATACGAATTTTATTTTATTATTGCATTCAGAAATTTTTATTAATTTAAACTAAGGAAAAATATTTGATCTTTTTATACTGATAAAAATAAAATGTGGTGTTAAGAATTAAAAATAATCTAGACATATCATGTCTACTGATTATCACAACTGTAACATTTAATTCTCTTTGATAAAACATTGCATAAAATATATTGCCAGAATCTTAATATCACTTTTCAATAACTTTTATTATCCACAAAAACAATAAAACCTAAACTAAAAGGAAACAAAACTCTTTGAATTTTAGGTAATTGTTAAATTGACAAATATAGTTATTTCAAGGCATCATTCAAATAATAATAATAATATTTCGACATTAGTAAAATCTTAATGCTTTTTTCTGTGTGTCAAGCAGCTCCAGAGCTTCTACAAATAAAATTTAAAAATTTCCTCTGGGATATTGGATAGAGATAAAAATTATTCTGTACATGATGATCACTTACTGTATAAATCTAAGCTTAATTTTAAGTATTATATATTGTTAAGAAATACATTTTTGTCAGAATGTGAGGAGATATATAATTGTTAAGATATTTCAAGTTTTATTCTTTTTATTTTCGTGCAGAAAAGTATGATAGCTAAATTTACACTTTGTACTTTGTAGCATATTTGTTAAGCTATTTTTAATGGTATTGAGTTACTATTTTTTTCAAATAGTAAAAATTAAAACAAAACATTGCCTTTTTTTTTATGTATCACTTAGCTTTGTACATAATTTGTGTGTGCATAAATTAGTATAATAATGAAAATAGTGCAATGTTTTATACTCTCAATCAGATTCAAAAATTACTTTTATATGTATAGAATGTTGCCAATATTACTGTTTGCATTTATTATATTATTTTGCAGCAGAATCTAGTCATATTTTATAGCATATATATTTTTTGTTTGTTTTTGTAGTACCAATTTGTGGTGTGAAATAATATTTTTGTATATAAATATATTGCATCAGGAAGCTAAAATTAGATGCATTTACATATGAATTTAAAATGTCCAAAAAAAAAAACTGAAGTTAAGATGTGTAAATTATGTATATTCCTTAACAAATAATTTTAGGCGTATTAATCTAGTCCTCATAGTTTCAATATTCTTTATCTGTAACATTCCTGCCACAAAATTTTATGTCTAACTTGCAGCGTGTACGGTTTTTCCGGTATTTTATATAAAGAGAACACCCTAAAATAGTGCAATGCAGTTAAAAAGTTCTACACAGGTGCAATTTTTTATTACATAATGTAAATAAACAGAATTATTAATCCAACAAAAAAGAAACAATGACTAGTAAAAGAACAACTAGTCATTTGGGATTTGTCCAGCCGAACATCTAGATAATTATTTTTCTGTCTTTAATTGTTATTTGTTAGAATTACTATAATTTTTGGCCTGTAGGGCAAGTTAAATTTGATTTATTTAAAATTTTTTAAGTATAAAAAGTTGTATATTATAAAAATATATCAATACTGTATGTATACATATATAATATTTGCATAGTTAAAGTAGAGCACGTGTCTGTTTATTTTGTCGGAATCGTCAATGTCAGATGCGTAAGATTTATTGTGAATTAAAATTTTGTTATTGTTTTGAATTATATAGTATACACTCTTAAAAAAGTATATTAAAACTGTAAATCTTGATTTGCAAAGAACAATAAAAGTTCGATTCATTAAAGTATAAGAAAGAGGGCAGTGATTTTGATTTTATTAGAAAATGCATGCATGCATTGCATTCGGCAATATCTCTGCCAATGGCTAGATCTATTGCAGTATACTTCAATTTACACACAAGCTATGTTTTTAGTAAGTTAAAAACAGAAGGAACTAAACGGAGTCTTGAATAATGCTCAAACATAGAAGTTCAAAAACTGAAGGTCATCAATTGAATTTTAAGCGTACGGAGTGTGAAATAAGCAATTACTTAATGAAGGAGAACTTTTAGTAGTAGAGAATCGAAAGCTCGACGTAAAACAAACAAAACACTGTAATTTACTTCAAAATATTTTGCCGGCTTTTAATTAAACTATAGTATTTTCCAGAATAAACATAAAGCCAATGTGCTGGATTTTAATCTGTATCACTACGCAACGAAATTTTCGAAAAAAAAACTGAAAATTCAAGTATTCCGTGTAAATTTTATGACGTCATGTAGTGTTTTTTCGTTTTTATAATCTCAGATTTCTTGCAAAAATATGGAAAATTTCAAGTAGATTATAACAGTTTGAGAGGAACAGGAAGTTCGATAATTTTCATTTATACTAAGATAAAATTTAAATAATGAAGGCTTAGAGAAAAATAGATTTAAATTTGAACCTTATTATTTTTAAGTTAAAATTATATGCGACGCCATCTGTTATGAGATTTTATTTTAAAATAATTCTTATATTAATGATTCTATAAAGGCAAAAAGCTTAATTTAATTCGTTCCCGACCTTCAAAATCAGTACATAAATAGCGTTCTGCATTATATTTAACAACTGAGAAATAATAATTATATTTAATTTAATAATAAATGTTCGTTATTTTATTTAAAGATGAATTCTTGGATGCCATTTATATTACGTGAAAGTAAATAACGCAGTTTTTAATAATTTGATTTAAATTCGACCGTGGCGCGAACCGAAAAACGGAAATGGTATATTTTCCGCACGCGCACCCGAATTTTAATTTAATTTAAATAGCAACGTCGATGATTCGTATCGTGGCGTCAGGCGATGTAGGCGCCACTAACTTTCGAATCGGTAGTCCCGTCGGCTTTCTTTAACGTAGAAAGTGTAGTACCGAGTAGCTTGTTCGGTAACCGGTGCAGTTATGAGTTCAAAATTCCGTTCGTAAACCGATCTGTTCGAAAAGTGAGGCGTTCGAAACCCGAAGTTTGACTACACTTTATCGTCATTGCTATATCCGCTACCTACCATACCGATATTCAAAAACATGAGAATAATATATGTAATACATTGTTCCCATTACAGTTAACACACTTCTGTCGGAATACGTTTGAGGGACGTACAGTACAGTACCCACTAAGATGTATCCAGTAGCCGAACCAGGGAGGGCCCGGTTCCCTTGCCTTTGTAAATTAAGTAAAAATTCAAAAATAAACGGATGTGACAAACTTATACACCTGTATACACATCCACAGCGCTATTGGTTACTTCGATAATTGTATAGGAGTGAATGCTATAATCAATACGGCGTCCCGATGTCAAATATAATTAATTATTCAAAAATCGAGTTTACACACTAGTTATAAAATTCTATTTATATGTTACCTTTTCTTGTCTCGAAGAAAACTGTTTCGACTCGCGGTAGCAGCCATTATAATTTGTTTACTATTCCTCGTGTTAGATAAGAAAATGTCGGGATTTCGATGTCAGAAGAGTCTTGAGTTCGAAAGGAAATTATATTTCATCAAATTTTGATACCGAAACTTATCATCATCGGTCATTCCACATCAAGATGGCTACCCGATTATCGAAGCAGACGACGAATGCCAAAGACCCGGATGTTTCGTTAGGTTTAAATTCTTTAATATGATTGGTCGTTGTGTAACCGACTTGTTAGATATATTTTCTTCAATGATAAATAATGTAATACTTTCTTAGAGAATCTTTCGTTTAAAATATATTTTTGAATCGAAAAACAAAATATATGTATGTCTATGAAAAAAATTTCATGTTTGGAAAAATTATTTTAGACTCGGATATATTAAAAATATTTAACGTATTTTTATTTTCTTCCGAGTGAAATATATTCCACCACATTAGCGAAGCGGTCAAGGTGGCAGCCTACCGCTCTGGGGGACCCGGGCTCGAATCCGAACGGGTCGAAAAATCCCCAGGAATTTTTCGGGGGTGGTCCGTTCGGATGTGTCGGGCCCCGTCCCTCACCACCCGGCAGCCCCATTGTGGACCTGATCGAACTCATAATGGGCTTGCAAAAAGAGGCCCTCTTATTGCCCACAGAGCGGAGAGTTAAAAAAAAACAATGTCAAACATGATCAATATATTTTTTAAAATACATTAAAATTATTATATTATGTAGAAAGCGGGCATATTAATCTGCAAACTTATCGGAAAAAATTGATCAGTAAAATACTTAAGTTGAATTTATACAAAATCCAATCTGCAAATTTTAATTTAAAAAAAAANAGATATTCTTATATGTGATTTATATTAATTCATCTTAAAATTAACATATATATATATAATTTTATTTTATAGATGTTTATCAACAAAATAATCCTACCCTTTATCAGCCAATGATAGAAATACCTTCACATTCATCTCCTCCACCTCCTCCTATTTCCTATCATGAAACTGGTTAGTAAAAATTGAAAATTTTTTAGTTATTCTATTATAAGCTATTTTTTAGAATTTACAGTCTATATTATTCTAAAATTTTAGATTTAAGGATAATATAGATTAAAAAATGATTAAAGAATACTAATATCATACATTATTCAGTGCTTTGTAAATAAAAATATATATCTCATACTAATAATTACACAAATAAACAATACTGTCCATCAGGCATTAAAATTCTTTAATTATAATAAAAAAAGCACTTTAATAATAATGGAATTAGCACATTAACAATAATAAAAAAATAGCAAGTACTTTCAACATTGCATTTACATCTTCTTCAGGCTATATAGATTTTTTTAAAAAACTATTCTGTATAGCCTGAAGATAATGTCAATGCAATGACAAAAGTACTTGCTAATTATTGCCATATAATGACATTTTTATCTTATTAATAAATAGATAAAAATTATAATTATGCATAATTTTCTTTTTTTTTTTTTTTTTTTTTTTTNTTTTTTTTTTTTTTTTTTTTTTTTTTTTTTTTTTTTTTTTTTTTTTTTTTTTTTTTTTTTTTTTTTTTTTTTTTTTTTTTTTTTTTTTTTTTTTTTTTTTTTTTTTTTTTTTTTTTTTTTTTTGTCAGAAATGGATTCTCTTTTCATTTTTATTCTTCTTTACTTTATATATAACATCAACTCCACCTACCTCTAGTCAAATTAATTCATAACTAATTAGTAATATAGCCTGAAAATGGTCCATAATTTGGCAGATTGTTTGTCTACTTTTTTATTAGTGTTTAAGAAACAAAATTTTAAAAAAATGTGTAATCTTTATAAGCAGCACAAAAACTTTTAATTACTAATGTTTTCCTTACTGATGCTACCTTAAGATCTCTTTGGGCAAGATTGAAAGAATACAAATATAACATACAGACATCACAACCCATTATAGCCCTTACAGCATACACTTTAGAGAGGTTGCGACAATGTTCAAATGTTACTTCTTCATGGCAAGCAGGAGTACACGGTTTATGTTTTAACTCCAAGAAAAAATCTTTGCAGCAGACATTCACAATATCACATGACTCAGTGAACATCACGCATCGACTCATGGGAAATTTGTTGGAAAAATGGTGGAACCATTTGACAACGAATGTTACCAGCAAAGTTAAACTGTTTTAAAGTATTTATAGGATGTTTAATAACACTAAATAATTATTTTTAATTAGCGTGGTGTCTCCTACCGTACGATCAGACGATAGGCCTACCTCATACTTTTGTCGAGGGAAGTAGTGGCTTATGTAAATTCGAAAGCAGCTCGAAAAATTAATTTTTAGGACATTTACAAACGTATTACACTGTTGATAGTAGAAAATGCCATGGAAGAACAAACCTACCTTAAGATAAGCTATTATGAAAACAAATATATGTAAATTCTATAGGCACTTTGCATCACTTGCAAAAAAATTGAATAATTAAATAATTTCTGGATTAAAATCATCTGTTTCTTTACAATATTATTTGTAAATGCTTAAATAATGATTATTTTAATAAAATAGATCATAATTTTAACCCCAAACACAAAAAAATGAAGAAGTTTAAGCCGATCGTCTACTCGCCATGTTAGACGTAGCGACCACCATTATCTACCATCCAGAATTGCCAGATGAATGTGCTCGACGGTCCACCATTCACATTTTGGGCCGAATA